GTAGGATCGATGCTGCATAGCCTTTTTTTTTTTTTGTGCACATCAAGAAAAAAAAAAAAAGATAGTAGTTGTCTTCACTTCGCACTGCATGTTTTGGCACGGAAGTTCCTATTTGGTTATGATGTCTTTACTTTCTTAAAAATTATATACAGTAATTTAAATTACCGAGTTACAAAAACGTCGAAATTGTATAATTGCTTTTCGTTGGGACGCCATGACGACAGCGACACTCGTGTTCCCTCGTGGTTTTCGCCAGCATTTCTACGATGAATTGCCAGGATCGCGAGATGCAACAGCGTGACACTCCGTCTTCTGTGACGTCATTTGTTGCACTTCGGGACAACTTTTGATGTATGGCCAGCATAAGACGCTAACCACACCAGTCGGAGACGCGCTGCAGGTGCCATAGTACTGCTCGTAAAAGTAGCTGTCACGTGCTTTGCTCCGCGACTGAGGGTTGCCAAATTACGGTGAAACGGAGTATAGACAAAACAGACTGGACGACATTTACCGGGCATCTTTAGAGCTGCGAAGCTCAAAATCACGCGTACTCATAAGATTTTTTTTTCTCGCGTGTTTGTGATTTTTATGATGTCCTGCAAGCAAGAAAAAAATATATATGGTGAAGTCACTCCGAGGGGGTAGCGATAACTGCGAGCCACGAACATGAAGGACTCGCTAACATCCGTCAGGAGTGTGAACGGTAAATCGTCACGCAAACATATTCTCACAAGCTGCAAATATTTATTTGGCTTAGCAAGTAGAATACTAGTATACTAACGACATGTGATTATTGTACACAAGATACCATTTCTCGGTTCTTCAAAACCATTTCCCATGTCTGAACGGTCGCGCTACGGGCCGCGGCTAGCCGTGCCCTCGATAGACTACGGAGCTGCGTTGTGTCGTCTGCTACTGTACCGCCAACAGGAGAGCGATAGCTCTGTGTGTTCCACAGATGCGTGTTGCGGTATAACTCTGTACGTCTGTCCTAGAGGAAGACAAAGAGATAGGCTCTGTGACCCCCTCCTAAGCTAACAAAAACAAACAGAAGTATACTCGTTTGGACTGAAAGGTTTACAAAATAGTGACCAGACATTGGAAAAGCATATGTCACAGAACTTGGTTTATGAAATGGCATCATTGTTTCGAGCAAGAAATCACCTGCTCACCACTGGGACGATGAAATCGTCACTATTTATTGCGTCAGGTATATTTGCGCTCATGAAGAAAAATCTGAACACATCCTTCTCCCAAAGTCCTATGTCGAATAATAAACACTTTTTTAAACATCTATGCACAAATAACTCATTTTTTTCTACACTTGTATATGCACGTTAATTGACGTCAAACCGCATTTTTGATTAGATCTTGATGTCTACACCAACTACATTCATATTTTTTAGGGCTTTATTGAACGATAACTTCAACTATAGTTAATGGAACACGATGGCTCGATCTCGACAAAAACCTCAACGTGCGAAGCTTCCACAGACGGTCGCTAGCGAGTATTCTCAATGTGAGACTTCAGAAGCTTTCGCTTGCCATAGGGAGCTTGCTTTCGACTACAGCACTGCACGGGCCCGGAAAGCGCTGCTGTGTGGAGAGGTTGACTTACAAGATGACGTGTTACGTGGTCACGTAAGATGGCGCCATTTCGTGCAGCGTGATCACGTAAGATGACGTCATTTCGTGTAACGAGATCATGTAAGATGACGTGTTTGTGTCACGTCATCACGTAAGATGACGTCAGTTCGTATGAACTGACGTCATCTTACGACAACGCCAACAACATTAGTGCCGTCCGGAACCATTGACCTTAGAAACGCGCTTCTTCGCTTGAAGAGCTGATATGCGTTGATTGTTATTTGTTTCTTTTGCCTACTACAGACCATTCAAGAACTCGCCTTCTGGGTGCCACCAACTTCGTCTACTGGGCTGTGAAGCGCGTTCGAGCGTGCGCAATACCTCTCTAGGCCGAAAGATTGTACACTGAGTATGCGTTCACAGCTCAATGACTTTGGCATTTTTCGTCAGGATAGATGCTCCCACGAGAAGAGCGTAATGGATATGTGAATAGAATTGGAAATTTGAAATGTTCTTGTCCAATCGCATTTTTCTTTGGTTATCAACGCTTTTTAGCGTCATCACTAGACGTTCAACCCATAATACACTGGTGATTAAAAAATAAGCCCCGAAAAACATGCACCGATTTTCGCTCAAAAATAAACACCGGAAAAAAACATACCGTAATCATTACCCATGTCACCTTTTTGGGTGATATGTGAATTTCCAGAAGAACAGCGAGTTATCACCCTCCCCTAGGAATACCCTGACTACAGAGCAGGCGACCCGTTTTTCCCCGCGTTAGATTGTGGTGACCACGAACCGTACGGAGGTCACAGGACGTCCGTGAAAAACAAAAAGGAGGCAAACAACGATCTACTCTGTGCACGCTTCATCCCCAATTTCCACGACCCCAAGGCCGAAGGACGTTTGTGTGAAGGATAACGATAAAATAAAACTTTGCGTCAAAAAAAAAAAAAAAGAAAAAAAAAAACGTTTTTAAAAGAAAAAAAAAAGTAGAAACAAGCACAACGCGTTGACGGACCGCGAGGTTGTGGAACACCTCGCGGTCCGCTTGCCACAGGACGGTTGTCTTCGACCCATAGCTCCAAGGTGAATTCGCCACTTGCGAAAACACGGAGACCTACCCAGCGAGAACCAGGAAAGCAAGACACGCACACTGACGCCTCGGCGTGCAGAATGAAACAGGATACGGGCGCGGAACACGGCCGCGGAAGAACACCTCGCACAGTGCCGATCCGGCCGATCTCCGAACGGACGATTTCGCATTTCGTGGACAGCGAGCGCCACCGCACGGGAGAGAGAGGTACCTTAAAAACGACGAAAACAAGCACCGACACCTTGGTTCTTTATATTTGCTGTAGTTACGGAACAAATCGACTTACATGAATAATTTGAATATTATTCGATTCCGTAATAAATTTAGAAGACATTAAACGCAATTCTTCTTATGTTTGAATTTAGATAATTTTGTAAATTCGCTCCGAACGCAAGAGTGCCGAATTAGCCGATTTTGACCATTTTCATGATTTTTTTAAAGAATATAATTAAATTTATGACGAAACATCTGTTGCGTTTAGTGTCTCGATAATGACTCAATGTCTTTAAAGCCGAAATTTTCAAGAAGATCCGCGCAGCCGCTATTATGTGAGAATTTTTTTAATTTGGTGAAAAACCTCATGTATTCTCTATGGGGCTCTGAGGTGCGCCCCCTCTTAAGTGCGCAGCTCCTCCACCAGAACATACAATGAAAGCTGAGCATGGCCTGGAACTTTTCAGAATAGTAAATATTGATAGAAAATAGGACTGGAGCAAGCATCCGAGACTAACAAAACAGACAGAAAAGAGTCTATCCTGACCACTAAAGAAGCTGCACTGCTTTAGTGACATTCTGTCCGAATAAATCCTCTCCTTCGGGGTCTGGCGACTGTCGTGGACGAGCTGAGCTGAAATCGATGTGAGACCACTTTTCTGGTAATGAGCCGCTACAGACTGCCGTCGCAAAGCGGCGTGAATGGGTGGACTGGGTAGGTAACACGCGCGATGAAATGTCCATACAGCTTGCAATTCGCGTAACGAGTGTTGAAACTTTGGTGTCGACGAAACGTGCGACAGACCAGCGGAATCCATACCAACTGCAACACCTGTGCTCCGTGAAGGTGCACGTCTACGCTAGAACAATTTAGGCAGCACAGCATCACCTAAAGCACGACACAGGAACTACCAGCTTGGAGGCAGCTCTTCGGCGCGCCTCACACCTGTGCTCCGTGAAAGTGCGCGTCTACGCCGGAACAATTTGGGAAGCAGCACAGTATCATTTAGCACGGCACTACAAGCGGCAAGGCAGCTCTCCGGTGCACGGCACAACCAAAGTGAGCCTTCGGTCATTTGAACGAAGCGGCACCACGATTGCACACTGCCAAGCACGACTCACGCAAATACTTTTACTAAACTGTGTATCCAAATATATTGCACACGCTTTACTGCAGATCTCGAAGGTTCCGACGGTCAACGAGAGCACAGAAACGTCGCCTTAAATTTTATCCTAGCGGTATCCGAATCAATCCGCCAGGATTGATTCGGATACCGCTAGATTCTGCCCTACGTTGCTCGCATTGATTCGGAATCAATGCGAGCAACGTAGGGCAGATTGTCTCTTGCGTGCCATTACCGCCGTCGGTCACTAGCGAAGTGCACACCGTTCCTCCGTATTTTCACCTTCTACCTACGTCAGACACCACGCTAAACTCTGAAGTCGCTGTCGACCGGCCTCATATGACGGCTTCTGCGTCTGAAGTCAACTCGCCGAGACGAACGACAACCAACATAGCATCCGACAAGCTCCGGCCCAGCTGGGGCCAGCCGCTGCATGGGCGCTGCCATCTTTCCTGTGACGTCACGTATTTGGTTCGGTCATGTGACGAGTGGTCAAATTTGCGTACAATGGCAGCCGCCTTATGGGGGTCACTTTCGAGTGCAGACCGGAACCCCGGTTTATCGCTCTAAGCCCCTCTACCTCGTTGGTTGGTCTCTGCTTCGATAATCGAAAAAATATGGTTACAGATGAATTTCAGAATGGTTTTATGAGCAATACAATATGGCGACTAACATCAAATGAAGTTTCTAGAGTGGATGCGTCTGGATTAAAAAACCGTTCGCTCACGCTCACGGGAAGCCCTCTCACAGAAGACATTTCCTGTTGTGCCACACGGTAAAAACGTTCCGTAAAAAAACGTAGAACTTCTCATTAAAAGCTACGGAGAAGCATCCGTAATCTGAAATACGGTTGACTTGTCCGTAAATCTAAAGTTACGATTCTGTAAACAACAACAAAAGTTGTTTGCAACAAGCTGAAAATTGTCTTATTTGGTTTAGACTAATAGACAACGGTTCTCACTCTTTAAAATATCATTTATTGCACTGTTAAACAACTTATAATAAAGGTTCCGAAACGAGGTGGCGCTAGTAACCGCTTAGTCGAAAAGGCTCGAGGTGAGATTTTTGTCTAGTACAATCACACTACCGCTATCTCTTCATCTACCCATCTCCGCTCGCTTGTTTTCCTTGTTTTGCTACCGCGCTTGTTTTGTCGAGGGGTAAAGGCGCTTGGTGATTTTTGCGGTTGCGACTGTTCTACGTTAAACTACCTTGTTGTTATCAAAACGGTGAGTTTGTTCTGCTCTTTTTATTAACATTGATTGGGGACTGTCATATATGCGTTCGTATTTTTGACACTTATTTCCTCGAAAGGAACGAAATCGCGGATTTGCGTCGCTTTAAACTTTCGGGTTCAATGACGTTCGCCGCTATCTCAGTTCGTGTTTGACGTTCTTCTCAGAATTGAAAGCTCATGTCGGGTACTCGTTTGAACCTTGTGTGATGTCGCGAGCTCGCTGGTACGCGCGGTTCGTCGTTCGTAGCGATTGGGAGGCTGTTCGCGCGTGCTGGCTGGCAGGAGTGTTGCAGTAAAGCACATGACAACGCATTGTCTGAGTGCGTGAGTGTGCTTTACGAGTTTCGCAACGTTGTTCGCGCGGCCTGTAGCCTGCTCTTTTCGCCGGGGGGTCCCTATTGTTTCGTCGAAATTCGCTTCGCGGAAGTACGTTTCGTGGACCACTTTTCATGGACACGTTTCGTCGACACGAACGTTTCATCGGCACTCGTTACGCGAATTTCACGCTGCAGGGTAGTTTCGCCACGCGTGTATCGGTGAAGTGCGCGTTAACCCACACTCCCGCCTGCGTTCACACCACTTCGCGGTGACAGCCTGCGGCTGCACATTACAAAAATGTTAACCCACCTAACCGACCCGTACAGGTCGCTTCGCGGCGACAGTCTCGTGCAGGTTATTAACCCCCCCCCCCCCCCCCCACCCTAAAAAAAAAAAAATAAAAAAAAAAATTTGAGCTGTTGATGAAACGATCTGTCGAGGAAACGTCGTTCGATGAACTGATTCCTACCGGTGTATCACCACTGCGTGATGCGCGTTGACTAGTTAGCAATCACAATGCAGCTGATGAATTTCTCATTTCACAGAATGCACCTGTGTCACCGTACGCTGATTCCCCCCAACCACATGGTCTAAGACCATCGTATTGATATTAATTTTTATGCTCATAATATTCTATGTGTATATTAAAGCAATATACGTCCACCCATTACTTGCATGGCGCCACTCAGGAGGGCACGTGATACCACTGTTCCACGGACTGTAAAATTGTATGCATTATTCTTGGCTCTGCAGTCAGACTGTTTTTAAAGAGCTTAGCCACCGTTCCTGCAGATTCAAATCGTCCGAGATGCAAGCTCATAATTTTTTCAGGAGGCGTCATCAACAACAATTGCACGCTTCCTTGTCACCGAGCGTCAGCCAATGTTTAAAGAGCCTATGCCATTCTTGAAGGTGGTATGCGTCTTGTTTGGAGCTTTTTGCGTGTTGAATTTACCTATCTAAAGGAAGCTTTGGCCAGTCTCGAGTTTATTCAACGGGGAGAGAATCTTAAAATGTGTCAAGTCCACAGGATATGTCATAGAATGACATAATCTATATCACCCTTTCATTTATCGTGCCTCAATGCCCTTTTTCACAACTCGCACAAACATTTGATCTGTATTAATTTTACAAAGAATTACGCTAATGCATTTCTATAATGAATTGATAACATGTGAACACTGGTTGTCATTAGGCTGTAACTTTCAAGGCTGGGAAACATGGTTATCTTGTATAGACTAACACGCAGCACTGACGTCTTGCAGCTGCGGCAGCGCTGTCGATGGCACTGCGCATGCGCGCACACTTCATTTCACGCTAATTTGGTTTCTGCGCATGCGCAGTGCCCACACCTGGTGTGGGCAAACGCGGGCTTGTGTATAAACAGCGTGTCAGTGTATAGAATGTGTGTTTGTTCAGCAGTCCTCCAGGTTTAAGATGATCCAACACTACCATAGTCTGACCTGATAATAGAAAAAAAATGGCTTTACCTTCACCAGGCTGAGTATTCATGAAGCATGCATGGCATTAATGTTAGATGATGCAATATATCCTCTTAGACTAATCTTCCAAATCAACCTGGAGAAGGGGTTGAAGAAAATGGGAGCAGTGAAGCGAACAACGGCACATCGCAAGATTTTAGCGCTGCTGAAGGGCTTCAAATGAGTCTCCACAGAAATCCCTTGAATCTGTATGTTTTTTTATGGTAAGTGCAAATTTGAATTCCTGCACGTCTAGCGTGTCTCTAAGAGGGAGATAACACTAATGTGGCTGACGCCAACCTTTTAAGAAGTGTAAGGAAGGGCTTTGGGAATATTCAAAACTTCCGAATATCGAAGCGAATGATGTCATATTTTGTTTATACTTTCATTGAATATGACGGTTCTGCAGTTGTACCAATTTTCAATCTGAGAATGCTCCAGGACACACCATCTTAAACAAGCAACTGAAACGACTCGCAAAAGCCCACACAGAAGTCTGGAAACTGTATGCAAATAAAACTTATTTCCACTCGTTCATTTAAAACTGGAAGTCATCCTATAATTGTCAACAAAGATGTTTGATTTATAAACTTTTTGAGCCCCCAGAGCAAATGCATGATTTGCTGCGATACGCTGCTGTGAACCGGTGATGCATGCATGCAGTGCGAGTGCTACAATGTCAAGGCAGATGTGGCTGACATGATATGGTATTCATATCCTGTGTTATCAGGAGTCTGCATCTGTTTAATTACAGCAACCAGCATCCTGCCATTTTGCAGCTTATCTCCTTGCAACTTTTTTGCCCCTTGCTCTTGCACAAAGTAATTATTCGTTCAATATTTAAATGTATTATTATTAAATAGTAACTTTTAAGCTTCGAAGTAAGTGAAGCTGCGTGGTTTTTCTTTTTGTTTTATACTGGTTTTTCAAAGCACAAGTCGGCCGGTTTGGCAGCCACCTGCAGCTATGCTTGTACTGCTTGACTGCTTATCATGTCCAGTGCCAACTGCTATTTAAGCTGCTCTAACTTGATTGAATTGATAGTCAAACAATCTTGTGTCTTGTTTTTCAGAAAATACAGTTTGCACCTCAAGACATCGAGCAATGTTTGATGATTTAACCAATTGAACAAGTTGAATTACGGACTCAACTTTGCTTTTGTTTTTCTATAGTAAGTCACAAGTCTGAGCTTTTACAGATTGAGCATGTCCCTGGGAGGGAGGCAACGCTGATGTAGCTGATGTCACTTTTTCGACAACTGTTGTAGCAATATCAGCCGCTTCTAACATGGTGCCACTAAAACCCCAGTTTGAGTATGTATTAAGCTTTTTTCTATTCCATATTTTAGCAGGTTATGAGTTAACTTCAAAATGGAACTACATGGTTCATTTTTGCTTTGTAGAGGGTTTTTCAGGGCACAAGTTGGCTGATCTCCGGCAGCCTCCTGCAGCCATGCTTGCACTGCAGTGTTGCTTTGCATGTCTAGTGCCAGCTGTGATTTAAGCTACTCTTACTTGCCTAAACTAGCATTCTGACAGTCTTATGTGTCTTGTTTTTCAGAAAAAATAGGTAGCAGCTCGAAACGTCGATAAATGTTTGATGATTTAACCATTTCAACAAGTCGAGTTACAGAGTCAACCTCGCTTGTGTTTTTTATGGTAAGTCACAAGTCTGATTTCTTACATATTGAGCATGTCCCTGAGAGGGAGGCAACGCTGATGTAGCTGATGTCACTTTTTCAACAACTGTTGTAGCAATATCAGCCACATCTAACATGGTGCCACTAAAGCCCCAGTTGGAGCATGTATCAAGCCTTTTTTTAATCCATATTTTAGCAGGTTATGAGTTAACTTCGCAATGAAAAAGCATGGTTCATTCTTGTTTTGTGGAGGTTTTTCAGGGCACAAGTTGGCTGATCTCTGGCAGCCTCCCCATACTTGCACTGCAGGGTTACTTTGCATGTCCAGTACCAACTGCGATTTAAGCTACTCTCGCGTGCTTAAACTGGTATTCTGACAGTCTTGTGTATGTCTTGTTTTTCAGAAGATACGGTTAGCATCTCGAAATGTCGAACAACGTTTGATGATTTAACCGTTTGAACAACTCGAGTTACGGAGTCAACTTCGCTGGTGTATTTTCATGGTAAGTAAAAGGTCTGAGTTATTACAGATCGAACAGGACTCTGAGAGGGAGACAACGCTGATCTAGCTCGTGTCACTTTTCCGACAAGTTATGTAGTAGTGTCCATCACATGTAACATTGTTTTGGCCCCAACTGGTGTTACTATGCACTATAGCTATATTCAAACCTAATGTGCTAAATTCATTTGAATTTAGTTACTATAGCTAAATTCAAGCCTACTAGGTCACCTGCTGCTGGCTTTTTGTAGCCGATGATTTGCCACGTTTGATTCGCAGGTAGTATTAAGTAGTGACACGTTGCAAGTAACATATTAATGTAACAATTGTTTTCTTGTTTGTGGGAAGTGACTTCTGTAACTTCTCGCTAAGTTTGTTGGAAGTAACTTCTGTATCACATTATTCTTTTCTGGATAAAAAAAAGTAGCAATGTTCTTTTGTAGTTAATTTTCTAATCTTTCTAATTACAGTTACATTGAGGAGCATAATCTGATGCATACCTTATATCTAGATTGTCATGGATAGACAACGACCAAAAAGATTACGCATTTTGGATTAGGAATACAGAGAAAACACTGACAACAGATAAACGAGGAGAATTTTTTTTTTCAGCTCCCTCCAGAAATTGTGCGTCCTGTGAGGCGCAGTGGTGGAGAAAGATAACCTCAGCGGCAATGGCTTTGTGTATCGTTAAGGTCTTAACCAGGAACAAATCCTTGTGTGTGCAAGCCATTCCACCGAGTGTGCCAGTTGAAAGCTTGTTCAGCGATGGAAATAGATGCGCTTGCCTTCAGTAAAGTAAAGATTTTGGATGAAAATTTACAAAAGCAACCGCTGCTTTAACATAAGATGTAATAACACGGATACAGGCACTTTGTGCAATAAACCTGAGCATAGACGGTTCCTACTTTTCCTTGTTTATTTCTTTAATAAAAAAGTCAGGTAAAATAATAGAATTACCTCTTAAGAATAACTGTTATAGGTTACCTTTTTCTTAACTAGCTTAATTAGGTAGTTTTTGTATATAAAGTATCTTGACCAAGGCGACAAATATTGCAAGGGCCCTCTAAATGCATATTTTTCGCTTAGTTTATGTGGATGCATACAAGGTCTTGCTGCAAGAAGAAAGGTCTTGCTGCAAGAAGATTTTAAATCTGCTTTCTTGTATATTCTAACACAATATAATGTAACCTTTAACTAAAGGGAACTGCATGGTTCTTTCGTCTTGTTTGTAGGAATTTCTTAGAGCACAGGTTCGCTGATTTCTTGTAGTCTCCTGTGGCCATTGTACTGCGAGATTACCTTGCATACTTATAGCCAGCTACAATTTAAGCAACTCTCATTTGTATAGATTGTCATTCGTGTTTGTCTTTTTTTTTCAGGAACTACATTTGAAACTGTACAACGTGGAGCAGTTTTTGACGATTGAGAACTTTGAAAAAGTCAGTTTGTGGAGTTGGCTGCACATGTTTTTTTCTGGCATGTAAATACTTCAGTTTTTAAAATCTAGCTTGTCTGAGATAAAAGCAAACCTGATGTGACTGACAGCACCCTTCTGAAAACTGTTTGGACAATATTGGTCACATCTAACCAGGGTTTTTCCCACGGTGGGTGGCAGTGGCTTCGCTGCCAACTAGTCCTGCTAGCCACCCAATTCCTTGAAAAATGTCTTGTGGCCTGCATGTTTTGGCTTGGAAATCCACAGTGCTCGCCAGATTTCTGTGCCACGACATGCAGGTACAGGTCCCCACAATCCAAATTAATGCGACTTGGTTGAGGTGCTAGGAGAAGAAAGCTGCAGCTGCTGCCTCTGTCCCCCTCCCCTCCACAGTCGCAGTCGGATGTCTATTTGTCTACAATTTATGAAGAAAAATCTGCGTCTAACATTTATTTTTATCCTAAAATGTACAGCTTCACTAGATCAAAGGCCACATTTATTAAGAAGGCCTTCCACAAGATTGGCTTTTTCCTCTTTATCTGTGCAGACCCGATTATAGTCTCTGTAAATTAATTTTAAGCGGTTGGCTTCACATATTTATTTCTAGTAGATATAAAATAACTGATGTAATGAAAGTTTCATGGTACTTTTTTTTAATGGGTTGCTTGTTTCAGCTTGTCCTGTTTTCAATTTAAATGCGACAGCATTTGTGGGTGAACCTTTTATCACTTTTTATTGGTGTGTTGGATGGTTCGTGTGACCGATTTGACTCTAGCACAGGCAACGGCACAGGCACTTGAGGACAGCTTGGTTTGTATGAGCACTCATGCAGAGAGAACGCTTTTTAAAATTGTGCATCTGACCCTATGCCTTTGCCAGCTCCAAAACCAACTTCTGAATTGAAGTACCTATATGGCATGCAGGTACACCAAAATGCATCGTTTGCACACATCAGAACAATCTCTTAGAGAAAATTATAAGGAAAAATCTCCCTTTCAACGGGCAACAAAAAAAAATGCGCAGTCAGAAATCGCTGACGAAGTGGCCAAGTGAGCTCCTTGAGTGGTAGGCACTTGGGTAAAAAAAAAATGGCTAGATCACATTTGGGGGGTAATCAGGTGCACAAAGTGTGGAGCTTGCAAACAAACATGCATGCCATATAAAAATACTCTGTTAATTTTTAACTCGCTCGACTCAAAAGCGTGTGCACAGGTGTGCTCAAACGTGGATAGGATGGAGCTCCCAAATTGTGAGATTGGCAGGGGTGGAACGGCTGCGCCATTTTGCGCCAGACGCATGTGTCTGCGCCATCCTGCGCCGCAGTTATTACCTCGTGCCATTATGCGCCAAATGGCAAAACGTGCGCCAAAAGCTTTTTTATTTTGTCTTGGTTTCGGTTTTATTGACTTGATTGGCCACAATGAGCGCGTTTAGCCTGACCGGCCTTGTAATCCTTTGTTCTGTTTATTCTCCCTGTGTATCCCGAGTAGGAAGCGCGCGAAAAAACTCGGGATTCTAAGCTCTACACCACCTCCTGCGACTGGGTTGTTATTCTTTAACCATAAGCGGTTAAGCAAGTCGGCTGAGCTGAGGTCGAGCCGTTAAGCGTCAGATTACCTGAGGCTCTGCGGCCCGGGATCCAGACGTCAGCCAGTTGAAAACAAATGAGCAAAATATTCCTTTTAGTACTTCATCGTTAGAAGTTGGAACTGCATTCCCGCAAGATAAATTGTGATTTGATAGAACTGAAACACTGTCCGATCCGAAACCTTGCCGGCCAGCAGCTCTTACGCGAGTGGTAAATCTGCTCGGCATACATTAACCTTGCTCCTGCTTATCGCTTCAAATACGATAACTTCGTTAATCGTAGTCTGCTGCTTCGATATCGAGTTGCACAATAGGTTAAAGTCGAAATTTGTTTCCCTATTCCTCCATGCAACTCCGCGTCCGTTGCTTACGCACGTCACGTGGTTCGCACATATAATTACTATGTCGAGCACGTGTGGGTTGTGCGATAAGCAGTGCTGGTTTGCATCTTGAGCATCTGAAATCCACTCAGAAAATGTCAAGGATACTATCTTCAGAAACATGGGGTACTTGCTTTTTGATTCTCATTCACCGCTCATTCACACTGGAAGCGGATCCGCATTCGCAAAGCGGTTGCGAACGCGGTTGTATAAAGATCCAGTAAAATTGCACATGCACTCGATGACATCAAGTGCGCATGCAATTGTACTGGATCTTTATACAAGCGCGTTCGCAGCCGCTTTGCGAACGCGGATCCGCTTCCAGTGTGAATGAGCGGTAAGGCTCACAAAGTTTCAAGTTTTCGCATCTGTTATGCTGTTATCCCATCTACCTAGGTCCCTAACCACTCATGTTCATCTGTGCTGCTAAGCGCGATTGATATTGCTCCCGTGCTTGTCTAAGACACAAGCTGAAGGGCAATAAAAACTGATCTGAGCTGCTCCTAGCCTGCTCCAGAGCATAGTTCTAGCTGCTCCCAACCTGCTCCAAAGCAGCTGTTTCAGCTGCTCCCGTGGCTACTCCCAAGTACATTTCATGAGTTCCACCCCTGGATTGGGGACTGGGGAGGGAGCTACTGCTTAGTCCCCAGTTTTTGATAGCAGTTTTAATACAAATGCACTCTCTCACCCCCTCAGTTCTGTGAAAACTTTCTAAAGAGAAAATAAAGTTTTTAATGCTCGTGCTCTCTAAGCACTCGAGGCTGACCACC